GCTTCCCCCTATAAATTATATAACCAACCTAAACTTTAAGTACCTGATACCTACAAATATAGTGGATAATAAATATTTTCCTCTCATCAACTATAATACAATAAAATCAACTAGATATTCAGGCAGTGGCCAAGTTCTCACGGGTAGTAGGCTAAATATTCCATTTGTCATACTTGTTCAATGTGTTATGTGAAATTATTAACATAAAGACTATTGTTACTCATAGAGTTACTTTCGAATTTATAATATTAGTTTGGTCTGAAAAGTAATAAAGTCAAATAAATAAAATTAGTGATGCATAGTTCTGCTAAATAGTTCCAAACAGGGCTTGTTTTTGCTTTCTCAATTGCATTTAACACAATACAAAACTGTTAGAAAACGCGCAGCCAACGCTAAGAAAAACAACCCGCTCGCTTTCGCGTTCTCCGTACGAAACAATTACTGTTAAATAAGTAATAATCGACCAAATTAAAAGGGGCATGGTGCAAATGAAGTTTCATACTTGACATTGTCGTTTTAATTTTGTCGAGTATTACTTATTTGACTAAAATTGTTTGGGACGGAGAACGACAGGAAACTTCCAGACATGGATAGACGTGAATAATGGCGCGTTCACACTAAATAGTCAAGCGACCTCCACTTGCCCGGTAAAGGCGGTGAACTATGGTGTAAATAATAAGTCGTGCGACGACGGTAGTTTGCAGCCGAAGGTCGGCAGACGACCCGGTGTAAAAGGCGCTATGAACGTACGGAACTGCCGCATCACTAAAATAAATAGTAGCTATAAAAGTTATCCTTTAGTTTATTACAATTTACATTTATCGCTAAAAATTAAATTGGATCTTAGTGAAGACTGCGGGAGGGATGTCTTCCGGGTTTCGGGCGCTGGGCTGGTGGATGCTGTTGGTTGCGACTTGCTGAAGGCTGAGGCTGGACTGTACGGGGTCCTTGTGAACCAGGCTGATTAGAGAGTCCATAACTGCCTGGAACAGAAGCAGGTTGTAGAGAAAACGGGAAGGGAAACGCTGCACGTCTGCGTGGAAGGGAAACGCTGCACGTCTGCGTGGAAGGAAAAAATGCGGAAGTTATAATGAATTTCTCGTTCGCATAAGGCTCAATTTACATTGCGGCGGAATGGAATGGAAAGGAAGCGTTAATTTCACCTCGCTGCGCGAGAAGGCGCGCCTGGTCGCTGGAATGCTCGAGCAAGCTTTCTCGCGACTGCGCCTTGAGGCTGTAGTATTTCGTTGACGTTTGACATCACACTGCTTTTTGGCTCGTATTTAGTTTATACGTTACACAATGGACCACAAAGTTAATTACACTATGTACAATTTCGTTACAAAAATTAGCTGCCATTCCGTTCCGCCGCAATATAAATTGAACCTAATAGGGAATTCTTGCGATAACACAAGAGGAATTTAACATTGGTAGCATACAAGTACGTCTTCTAAATTTGTTTTACCAGGGTTTAAATCTAGAATGCCTCATATGACCTCATGTCTGCTTAACGGCTGAGCTGTGAGGTTGTTAACAATACGGTTGTAGGGATAGTCTTTGTGTTTCAATGGTAAATTTCATAAATTTGTACGTATCATGAAGCAAATGGATCAACATAATTAGTGACAGATTTATCTAATCATAATTAATTTTATTTATTTATTTTATAAATAATATTAATATTTAATTAATTTTATAAATAAATTAATTAATTTAAATAGAAAAATAACACAAAACGAGTAAATGTCGATAAAATAAACGTTATAAAATTAATATTTATTTAGAGTTAGTTACGTATATTTGCAAAGAATTTTTATTTTTCATATAATGTCAATATGAATTTCTCTAAATTATCAACGACTTTTGAAATTCACGTCTAATGCTTATCGTAATCGTCGGAGTCTATATGTCGTATTTTATATTTAAAAATCGAATACTTTAAAGTATTTTATTTAGTTATTTCATGCGACAATGGATTACAATTACACTTATGTATAGCAGTTGTAAAATTCAAAGTTATAAATATAAAGTCTGTTCTTTTTTGAAGATGGAGTAAAATGAATTATGCAGGGTTGCCAGTTTTCGTAAAATTTTAGATAGTCATGTATGTAGTTCTTGCCGACAGTTTTATTGGTAGATTGCGAAAGATTAAATTTAGCAAAAAAAAAAATGGCGTTCTAGTTAGTTTTTCTACCTAAATTCGGTGGCAAAATGTATTATTTAAATGTTTTAGAATATTATCATAAAGTATTACTTAATATTCGAGTGTAGTTTCCTGAAATATTATTTAATATTGAACGATAGTATACTCGAATACTTAATAAATTAAAAATGCCACCTAGACAAGATAAATTAACCTGAAAATTACCCTTATCTTATTTTGACAGTTGGCCCAACAGTATCGAAATCAATTCGTGGAGTACAGACACACGTTCCTGTTTTAAATCATATTGTTGCCTAATTGTAGGTTATACAATCACAGATAAAAACGATGTAGGTGTACCCGCATAAATACGATGTAGGTGCAAGTAGCAGTGAAAACATCTACAATCCTGGTATGTGAACACTGGAAATAGGTATATTTTAGACCTTATCTTAATGTAATATATTACCATATACTATATTGAATTTGAGCTCTAACGAAAAGCCACCTTCTGGTGCTTTCTTATATTTCGACTGTGAACTGGCAACCAACCGGTACTAGCACAATTTTGACAACTTTACACTCGTAAATGAAACAAGTTCGGCTACTTATTGCGTAAACTAATATTCTATCGATAGTCGATGGACTATTTATCGTCTGCAATCACTAGTTGCTTGTCAGCGGGCAACACTATTGCACAATGAACTCTCATTTTACTCCATCTTCGAATAAAACCGAGGTAGTAAACAATACGTAACAGTTAGTGTCAGTAATAAATGCAACAGTTAACTTTAAGTTATACAATCTTAGATTTAATGTTAAAATTTTGAATCACACTGCTTGTTAGGGTTAAAAAACTTTAAAAATAAAAATAAATTTTATTTAACATTTCAAACTACTTAATTTAAACTTCTAAACGAATATACTTCTACTTCTATTGGTAATATTTCTATTATTCTTTGATTTACGAAATACAAATGCTAATGATTTACCGACAAAAACACCAAATAATATGCCAGAAAAATAATTAAATTTAGAAAATAAAAAATATTAGGATTAAATGTTATTACTGGCTGCCTTTGAAAGCGACTGCTGGACAATATTAAAATAAATTAAATATTAAATATAAATTACTTGATACGGTCGAATATAATGTTACTTAAACTAAAAAATGTTTGATAATTCCATAAATACAAAAAAAATAATTAATATCGACGCACATTTAATCATATTTTGAAAGAAAATATATAATATGTACCATCAGCAAAGTTGAAGCGTGCCTTATTCCAGCGTGACCATAGTCGAGTTTTCAAAATTTGACTAGCCAGATAAAAAGTCGCTATTTAGTCCGTTCTAGTCACAAAAAACTACATTTAGGCGGTCTGCCGTTCAAAAGTTATAAGGGTGTTTTACTGTCCACGCTGTCTCGAGAGCCACAAACCTAGCTTAGATCTGATTACACTAAAAAAGGGTCGTGATTTAGTCGGTTCTAGTCGTAAAAAACTAGATATAGTCGTTACGCCGTTTTGAAGTTATTAAGGTGTTTTACTGTCCACGCTGGAATAAGCTTATTCCGGCGACATCATTTTTGAATCTCAAGAACCACAGTTCCTAGCTTAATAATGATGAATGAATACACCCAGAAAAAGTTGTCAATTAGTTGGTTCAAGTCGCTCATAACGTACAAACTAGATACGAACAAAAATAGGTAACGTGTCTTCCAGAGAATCTTCACGTAGTCTTGGGAATTCCCACAGCTTCGTTACAGAAATTCGCTACTATTCTGTTCTGTGACAATATAAATTGCGTTTTAAGGTGGGGACGCGTTGATTTTGCTGATAGTACCTATGTTAATAACTGTGCAATGGAACACATTTATTCTCATGTCATCTACTTAGGTTTATCATCTTATGATATAATAAAAATCACCCTGCATTATATTTTTACAATTTTTTGTGTTATATAGAATACTTTACTCAATTTTTAATTATTTTCAGATGAATTTGATGGGTTGATTTTTATCAAATAATATAGGGGATGTTGGTAGTAACGCCTTAATGAGTATACTAACGACCTATTTTTACTATAATAACTTATAAATACGATACACATATAAATCTGGCACAGTACACATTACATTTTTCTAACACATGTATAAGAAAATCTACTGGTATCAGTGCTTCAACATTACACTAATATTAGATTAAATATTACTACTGGCTAATCATTATGGATTAGGTTATATGAGAGCTGTTTTTAATTATTCAAAGGGCGTATGTTACTTCGCGCCAAAACATCAGTGCCATTTAGTGGCTCATTTATGCACGACACGCGTGAATTTCGGCACCCATGAATAGAGATGGGCTTTGTGCCCGGGTTTTAACCCGGCGCTTTGTTAATGTTGGGTTTAAGTTAGGTTAAAAACCATTATAGACCAAACTCGAGGGCAAAAACTACAATTAAATTGTAAATCGAGTTTTGTTCAAAGGTAATAATATTACTGCAACATTTTTATTGGTCACTTATTTCGCCTTTTTATTTAATCGATTCGCTTGAAATTTGCATTGAAATTATTCGATATAAAACAATCATTAGATCGTATACACGTGAATCGATTGTCATAAAAATCGAATCGTAATGCATCCGTAGTAGTAAGTGTGAGTCTACAGGATTGCAAAGTGAGTATTATGTGGAGTTGCCTCTTTTTCGTGTGAAAAAGATTTTTTCTTTTAACTTCCATATTAATTTACGCCTATAAGGGTTTTCATCCACGATTTTGGGTAGATATAGAAGAAGAGGCACCGGGTTTTTACCCAAAGCTTTGGGTAAATAAAATAAACGAATAAGAAAAATAAAAAATAAACTATGAAATTTTGATAATGATTGGTCATAGTTTCGGATTTAAAAAAAATGTAACAAATTCTGGATTGTTAATATAATTTAAACTTTACCCAGTCTCTATATCGTTGAAAGTTCAATACCTTTTATTGCAAGTTACGACGTTTTGATTTTATATTTAAATTTTATTCAACATGCTGCCATCTTGCGGTCAGTAGCTGGACTACGCCGAACGATTAACATCTGAACGAATAGATACTCAGAAAATTGAACATTAATTAAAATAAGACTGACCGATGATTTGAAATACTACTACGGGTAATTTAGGTGCAGCTATCATTTTTGTAGCCCAGAACAGCACAATAAGGCATTTTTCTAAAATTTTAGAGAATTTGCGCGAAACAATGGCACAACAATACCATACAAAGCGACAATGGCGGACTGAGCTCTATAGGCCTTTGGAGACCTAGATAGGCACGTCAGACGCCATCTAACCACTTCTACTGTATTTATTGTTCTGTGACCGCGCTCATATTGTTCAAGAAGGGAACTGGTAAACGTAATGTGCGTTTTTTTTCTATTCTTTGTTTTTATTTTACTAATTTACTCTTACTAAAATATTTCTCTATTGCTTTTTGTAGAAGCGTCTTTACTGCTCTCATAAACCCTTTCATACTAACGCAATTCTATATAAAAAAAATCTTATCTACACAAAGTAGCGTCGATCTGCTGCAGTGAAGGCAGAGCGAGCTTTAGCTTGCGTCGGTACGCGGGATCGGTAGCAAGCGGGTTACGTTCCAGGTATATCGTTGCTAGCTTCTTGTTATGCTTGAGGTGGTCTATGGAACTCCATTCTGTTATTTGGTTGTCATTTAGCTGTAATAAAAAAAAACACTGAGCGATCACGAAGTCAGGATTTTATATAGATCCTGCGTAGCATGGCTACGCATGATAGCCGCGTTGCATGCGATAAAATTGAATTAGGCGCGCGCTATTGGCTGTCTCAATCAGATCTAATTTAGATAGCCAATAGCGCGCGCTTATTTCAATTTTATCGCGTATCGCTTAACCTGTCTTCATAGTCATAGACCTCTTTAAAAATTTCAAAGATTATTACACATTAACACTTTCCGAAAAGATGAAAACAAGCTTTAGCTTTTATCAACTTGAAAATTTGATAAAAGCTAAACTATTTACTCACGACATATTGTATATAATTTTTTATATTAATGCATTGTGTTAGGTAGGCTCGCCATGGATCCGGCGTTCATTACACGGACCCCTTAGGAGTCCATGGACCACAGGTTAACAAAGCCCTGATATAGAGTGTTAATAATCAAATTAATGTTTATACTGAAACTAATTTTAATAATAATACGATTATAGAGTGAGAAAAGAACCTGAATTGTGCCTTTTTTTTCTTGCGAGTGAGGGCAGTATAGTGTTAAGAAAGATTTAATGGTATTTCATGTATAAAGACTTTTTCACTTACCCACAACTCTTCCAAATTACTCATATGCCGAACGTTCTGTATGTCCGTCACTCTATTCATAGCCAAGTCCAAAGTTGTCAAGTTTGTTTGATTATCCATGTTCTCCATTACGGCAATGCCATTCTCAGATATATATAACTGTTCTAACTTAGTTAAATTTTCCAGATTTTCGATCTTTGTGATTCTGTTGCTTTGTAACGATAGAATTTCGAGGTTCGTAAGATTGCCCAGGTTTTGGATTTTTGATATTTTGTTCTTGCCTAAGTATAGTTGTTTAAGTGTCGTCAAACCGTCTAGGTTTTTAATCTCCTGTGAAGAAAATAATTAATTTTTAAGTTAGTTTAAATTTAAGAAATTATAATAATAGCAACAATAAATATATTATATTTTTTATGTGTTTTTGTATCGAGGTTTCTTCATTCATCAGGGCCGCAATTCTGCCAATTTAAGTCATCTCGGTTGGGTGACGATAATGTGTCAAGAAGTTAAGAGTACTGGTTTTGTCAGTGTCAAGTGTCAGCCAATGAGCAGGTATTCAACTGCCATTGCAATTTTTTAGTATTCTGCTCTTCAATGGCGTGTCGATGATGGTATGGTGATGGCATAGTGTACTAATTATATAACATAAAGAAAACACTAAATTGCTATTTAAACAAGATAAAAATTAAAAATGCATATTTTCATGGTAGTTTTAGTAATGTAACATCAATCGTTATGCTCCGTTCAACCATTTATTTATTTATTTATCTTTTGACAACTGTAGACAAAGAAAATGCAATAATTCCTGGACTCTTTTATTTTTTAATTATAGTGAAGCGACGTGCTCTTTAGCTCCGATAACAGATTATGTAACGAAGATTATTCAAGATGTTAATTTTTGTACCTATCCTCATTGACATAAATTATTAATTCTTGAGTAAGTATACAAATTGTCAAACGCAACATCATGATTTCAATCAGGCAATATATTCTTTTTGGAACCCGCTCACATTCACGATTAAAACTTCTTCATAAATAAAATCGATTGCTATAAAAAATAGAATCGGAAACGCATTAGGACATCACTAATTGATTCGAATTCGATTTGTCAAAAGTTAAATAAATAGTTTCGACGGAGTGTAGTGATTGAACGAATTAATGACATCGCAGCCATTCCACTGACGCTCTGTTGAGACTCAACTACCATTGCATTTTAGCAGTATAAGAATTTTATCGTAATTGCAATCTGTTGACTCAATCCGTAAATCGGCTGGTAAGAGCGGTAGCCACGATGAGGCGACAGATGCTGGCACGAGTCCAGTCGAATCAAGGGAATTTTTATTTGCGTTTGTTCGATCTTTATATCAATAATAATAACAAATTGTAATACAGTTACAGAAAATGTTATTAAAAAGTAACCTAATTCAAAATACTTTTTACTTATTTATTTATTTATAAAGAAAACATTCTCGTCTATCTATACTTCATAAGTGAGCAAATTATACTTGAAATTCTCAAATTGATTAAACACTATTGATCGTTTGTATGGCAGATTGCCTTGAGAAA